TTTAATAAGTCGTTTTTATGCTCACGGGTTCAATTTAAAAATGCAGATAAGGCAATCGACCGGTTTTGAATTTATAAAAACAGTAATAATAACAATAAATTCAAACAATAATCGTATACGACCTAGTACATATGTTCAATTATCTGCCTTTGTCTGTAGTGTTATCGCTACATTGAAATTCGTATTCCTTATCAGTTACTTATCGAGCTTCACCCAAACTAAAACACTATCAAAAATAACAAAGCTGAGAGTGGGAAGAGTTTAATTTTGTTAACATTCTCAAATAAATTTAGTTAGCTAGCAATTTACAAAATTAAATCCAACCAACCTTAGTGTTAAATTTCTATACTCAGCTATCTCGCATTCACAGATATCAATATTCAAAGTAAATTCTTGACTTTGGACTCAAAATCTATTCCATCGTTGATTCTGAACAAGCTTTGATTGTTGTTCATACATTTGGGATACTTCTCTCAGAAAATGTAAACGGAACTTTTATTCCGATTCGGAAGAATCTATCCAATTTATAGGAATTACTTTGTGCTAGGAATGTCGATAAATCTATCTAACTCATCTGAGTTCCGATAAATCCGCTAATTTTTCAGAGAACCATATTTTCATTTTACAGTTTATTGAATTCACAACACTTTATCTATGTTGACAATGTATTTATTTCGGTTCATAATTGATATGAAGTAGGTTTGACATAAGAAGATAATAAAAGCTGATATAGCTGCCTATGTTTTGTATGTTCGGTTGTGATTAACTTCAATTGTACTATCAGTTTAGAAAGAAATGCATGTTTTATTTACTTGTTGTTGATGGGTATTGTGCATGTGCATTGTGCATGTGCATTGTGCATACACGAAAAATATCTGATGAAAATATTCATACACTTGAAAAATACGCGATATCATTCAGTTCGATTGTAACGCCATTCAATTTGAAAATACATGGATCTGGGAGGAATTTTATCCCTCTCACACTTACTGCTGTCATATTTCAATGTTGTGCTAGTTGTGTATGGTGCGAGTGAAAACTTTGAATGTCACCCAGGGACTTTTTTTTTACCAGGAAGCGAACGGCTCATTCAATGCATTGCACCCGGTCGCGAGAACACCGAAGGCGGTCGATCTCTGGGTGCTTATTAAGCACTGCTTATGATTGGATTTGAAAGAAAGGCATGAGAGCGCTTCAAGGGACGCTGAATAAAATCGAACCCGAACGCGAGCGGGCCAAAAAAAAGTCACTGCTCTCACTCCAAAAACTATAGCTGTTTTTTGGCTTGAAGGTGAATCGAAACAATTTTCATGTGCTTAGTGCGTATAAGTGTAACAGTAAACAACAAGATAGATATCATTTGATTCCCCTGTTGATTCCTCTTGTATCAATATTCACCAAAGGTTTCTGAAGAGCATGTAAAATGACAGGGCTGTGTTCAAAAACTGAAAAATCAAGATATTTTTGTTACTCTTACAATAAATACAAAACGGATTCGCGTAATCAAATTCAATTAAAATCAATTCAAGTTCAACTTACCCGTGTATAGCTTTCCAACGAGCACTTAGTGATCTTATAGCCGGTAATATAAAACGGACGTTGCGATCTTTCCATCATAAGTAATGTGAAAATCTTAAGATCATTCGGATAATTGTAGAATTTCGAGTGATAAGCAAAATCAGCAACTTGCAAACATTTCCATGTGATCAAATTACCGTAAAAACAATAAACGAACAACCAAACCAAAATCAAGAAATTCGAAACCGCTGGCTGGAACAGTTTAATATTGATGTCCTTTGTAAGAAAAATGAATGAAAAATTTTATTGAACAATAAATTTACATTGAATAAAAGTTCGAAAAAAGTTATCATTTACCATAAACTGTGCCATCGATGTAGATAGCCACACAGTTCCCCCGCTAAAGGTCAAAAAAATCACTCCATCGACAAGAGAGGCAAAGTTTTCGATCAAACTGTTTGGAAAATAGAACCATTTTCAAAACTTTTTCTTTTAATTTAGTTTAAATTATGAAAATAACTCAATTTTTGCACAAAAAAATGTAGATTTCGGGTAATCAAAGATGAATCATCTATCAATGTGTAACATTATAATGAAATATTGTTCGAAAGGTCTTTTTCTAGTTTAACTCACCTTAAAATTCTCTTATGAAAATCAACAGCTTCAAGTAAACTCCGTCTCAAGGTAAATTTTGTTAAACCATTGTCATTGTTTTCATCGCCGTCATTTGCCGTTAGAAATGCATCAATTTCATCGAAAATGCTTTGTAAATCATTGATGCATGCTTCGACATACCAGCAAACGCCAATATAAAAAGTATTGATCGAACATAAAACGGCAGAAAATTTCCATCCAGCAATTAATTCAACGAGAATGCCAGACAAAAATCCAGGCACAGATTTTTGGTCGAAAGGTAATCTGTTTTTTTCGGGTGAAAAATCTTAAAAAGTTGTACTGCTTAATACCGAGCGTGGCTCTTTTATTCGCAGCCAGCTATTTCTCGCAGTTTTACGTTGCTAATACATTTCCTTATGGGGATTTTTGTTTTGTTTATTTTTTGTTGTTTGTAAATAAATCTGCCTTTCTTTTTGCATTGTCTCTACCCACTTCTTATGGACATATACTATGTACAGTCGAAAGGTAATCTGTTGATATAGACAGACTTGTTGACAAATAACGGTAAATAAACAAAACAAAAGGAGGAAATGTATTGGCAGTGTAAAACTGCAAGAAATAGCTGGCTGCGAATACAAGAGCTCGATATTAAGCAACACGGAATGTCTGCTTGATTGAAATTTGAATTTGAAAGAAAATTGAAATGAAGGAAAAAATAAATCTACTCTGACATCATTTTAAACGGCAGAAACAGTTGATCCTTCTGAAAGTCTCCCTTCATAATAAAAATGGTGGCCATAAATATTGGCATCAATAAAACTATGCTGCACACGAAGAATATCAAAAAAGTGAAACGTTTCGAAATTTTGGTGATTCTTCTCTCGACTGCTTCATAATTCTTGACAAAGGAACGATTTGATCCTGAAACAAAAAAAATTAATCCGTTTGAATTGGGAGTATGAGGCTATGGTTTAGGAATTTTCTGCTTATATCATTCCAATTGCATACAATTTTCAATGTACATTGAAAATGATTGCCGTTTAATTTTTTTTATTTGAATGTTCATCTATTTATTTTTGAAAAATGTCACAAAATACGTACTCGATTCAACAATTTCATCTAGCTCATTCAAAAGTTGAACGACTGTGTTACAATTCCACAAGAAGTGACAGTACATTCCGAAACTGATGCTACATTAAAACCAATTTCAGTTAAAAAAGTGTTTCCGTCTCATTTTTACTAACGAGTCATTTTGCTTACGTATGTGCCGTTATGCCATAAATCGATTCGGTGGCTTTGCGAAGATTTCGAATGTTTTGCAAAAAGTACACCATTGAAGGTATCACTAAAAAGAGCTCCAGTGATAGAAACACAGTGGTATTCAGTTTTGTACGGACACTTCGATATTTTTCTGATTTTAATAGAAAAATTCGAGTAAAAAACATTTGATTAAATAACAACACTGGCATTTTGTGACAGAAACACTTTGTTTCAACCAAGGATAATCGGATTTTTACAATATATTTTGGCTACGTCTCTTGAAAATATTCTTCTTTGAACTGTCGTCAAAGTGTCTGAGATTCTTGTATTTATACCAGTTTATTGAAATTAATATTAATGTTCAGTGGTCTTAATTCTGGTCATTGACCAATTTTATTTGGGCGGTTCGTCGTTGCCGCCGTCTGCAAAAGTTTTATATTTCAACGATGTCTGCTTTAAGCACTTATTATCGTTGAAAATAAGAAAATAGTTTCGAAGTACATGCATTGAATAAATTATTTTTTTATGTTGTGTTAATATCTAGGTGTTATAACAACTTTTTCCGTTTTAAATGTTCATTCAGAAATATATCAAACTTTAAAGTAGCAAAAAAATCAATTTTTAAGCCAGACATGATAATTTGGTAAATGACACGTTTTATTATATTTGTCGAGACGAGAGTTTAAAATGAGAACGGATTTTTTGTTCAATTTATAATATAATTCGTTGATGACACATAAGAAAATACAAATTATAAATTATGCATTCAAAAAAATCGATCGGTTTTAGATTGATGAATATTTTCTTAGCAATTATTATTAAACCTGAGCTGTACATGAGCTGCACTGTTTCATACAAAAACTTACAATTTATCGTCGATTACAGTCAATGAACTTAGTTCATGCATAATGTATGTAATATAAGACAGTGAATAAATATGTGGGATGGGGAGATTGGCGAGCATCGTTCAAGAGATCTATTTTTATTTGAAAGTTATCTGGGCAATGACGGATGTACGAGTAGTGAGGCAAAGATTTGTTCAAAACTGTTGACATAGCTCTTTCCGATGAAAATGACGATTCACTCTTTATCGATTGAAATGAAGCAGTTCCTATGTTTTGGTCGAATGAATGCGAAAAAAATACTGCTGTAAAAACAAGCTGTTACTGACACCACAATTTATTTTCATTTAATTTAAGATGTATTTATCTCATTTTTCAAGATAAGTGTTTCCTATTAAGATATAGACAATTTCTTCCATAAATTTATATTTCATTGTATCCGTTTTGTGGAGTCAAAGTTTATGCTTCATTCGTATGATCAGATAATCGGCAATTTTGAGCATGACTCTTGACCATTGAGATTAAGAGTTTAAAGTGTAGTGTAATTTATTTAATTTTTTCTTAGAGTTTAGTTATACTTATGCAGCGGAAGCATCTACACTTCGTTTTATTTCGTTTTGAATCAAAATCAAGCAAAATGAAATACAGAATTTTTTGTTTTGTTTTTCTGATCTATATAAATTTAGTTACTGCAGGCTCAAGCTCAATTACCGACTGTTTCTACGTTAACGGTGTTGATCAAGCAGTGACATTCGTGTGTGAAAGTTTTAATGGAACATATCCAAAAAGCAACTGTTACCAATTACTTTTCAAAGATAATTTGTGGGCAACCAATAGAGCCAAATTGAAAGCACTAAAAATTGGTAGCTGTAGAGGATCAGGATTCAATGAAGATCTTTTCAAAACTTTCGAAAATTTACGTGAATTTGATTTTTCATTTTACGGAGTGACATATTTAAATTCCAAAATTTTAAATCTAAGGAAGTTGGAAATACTGAATGCATCGCATAACCTACTCCCAAGCATTCCGAGTGGCCTGTTCTCTAATACACCAAATATCACGGACGTAGATTTTTCATACAATAAATTCACTTCAGTTGATGAAGTTTATTTCAAAGGAGCTGCAAAATTAACCAAAATCAACTTTTCGCATAATCAAATCTCAGTATTGAATAGTGCCATCTTTAAAGACCTCAATGAACTGCATTCAGTAGATTTGAGCAGTAATTTAATAAGAACTATCAACAAGAACCTGTTCAACAATAATCACAAATTAAAAGTACTACGATTGGATAACAACCCGTTGCAAACGTTTGATTTTCTTCCCAATTTCATGAAATCAGCTTCAGTGAATATTACACTGAACCATATTTCGCGACTTGATGTAAGTTCTTTAGGAGGTTCCGTTCAAGTTGATTTAGTAAACGAAAATGAGGTGCTTTTCCGTTTAACTGAAAGTAATTCCAAGCTAATCATAATAAAGGAAAGTTTTGAAAGCTTAAATTACTTGAATATCTCTGGAAATCACATCGAAAACACTGCACAGATCGTTGATTTATTGGGATCATCAATTGAAACATTGGATGTGTCATCGAATTTTATGGAGAAATTAAATGTGCAGACTTTTGAAAAATTCATCAATTTAAAAAGTTTGAATGTGAAAAGTACAAACCTGAGCGCCATCAATTTCGACCAGTTGCAGAATGTTTCGTTTTCCACGCACAACAAAAATTTAGAGTCACTGAATTTAGAGAGCAACCCGATTGTTCGTTTCGATTGTAACATTTTTACACTGCTTAAGAAATCAGTTGCAGTTCAAGTTTCCTGTGATCATATCAAAGAAATTGATACAAGCTGCATGGAGAATGCGTTAAAAATCGACTTGGATGTCAAAGGGATCATATTCCGAGTTTTAAATCACTTAAATCGCTACTCCGAACTGAAATGTCGCAAAGAAACGTTACAAAATGTCAAATATTTGAATATCTCCAGCAACGAGCTCGAAAATACACCTCAAATAATCGCATTGCTGGGATCATCCATCGAAATATTGGACGTGTCTTTAAACTTTCTACGCAAATTAGACGCCAACATCTTCGAAAAGTTCGAAAATTTGAAATATTTGAATTTGAAACAAACGCAGCTGTCGAAAATCTCTTCAGACACGATGCATCATCTCCCGTTCTATCGAAATGGCAAGAAATTGCAAGAGCTGTACATGGATAGAAATCCAATAGAACGATTCGATTGTAATGTACTTTTGCTATTGATGAGTTCAATTTTGATCGAAGTTTCATGGGAAAATGTTAAAGAGATCGATACAAGTTGTATGGGCGATTCGTTCCAAATGCATGTGGATAAAGGAAAAAAAGATGTCATTTTTCAAATACCAAACGATAACTCTGAGTTACACTGTTTGAAGGAACATTTTCAGAAATTAATTTATTTCAATATTTCTGGGAATCATTTCAAGAATACGGCGGAATTGATAGATCTATTCGGACCCGCTTTACAAACACTAGATGCATCGTCAAACTTTATCGGAAAATTAAAAGCAAAAACCTTCAAAAAGTTGCTTAATCTGCAGTATCTCAATCTCAGCAACACCAATCTATCGAACTTTTGCTTCAACACTTTTTACCATCAAACTAAACTGAAGACACTCGATTTGTCTTTCAACCGAATGAGGAAGGTGGACTTCACACTATTCCTGAGAAATTTTAGAACATTAACCACTTTAAA